CTCCACCCCCCCACCTCCGCTGGGTCACTCCAAATTGAAGTTCCTTCCTGCTGTAGCTACGCTCGTGGTAAATAACTTTGTGTTATATGCCAACTTTGATATAGCCAGTATCAGAGGATCTGCATGGCAGGTTTCAGGTCTTGGCTTTTCTTAATTCCACCCCACCTTGGGGAGCAAGCATCAGGAACCATGGTTTATTGCGTACGTTAAGTGCACACCGTTATTCACATGCATGTATAAAGTTACTTGTTTGTAGCTACGCTCGTGGTAAATAACTTTGTGTTATATGCCAACTTTGATATAGCCAGTATCAGAGGATCTGCATGGCAGGTTTCAGGTCTTGGCTTTTCTTAATTCCACCCCACCTTGGGGAGCAAGCATCAGGAACCATGGTTTATTGCGTACGTTAAGTGCACACCGTTATTCACATGCATGTATAAAGTTACTTGTTTAAATAATATTTTCAAGAATCACCATAAAGGTATGCCTGAGGAGTTTGAGAAATGACCCTTTGTAGGCTTTTAGAATTAAATTTAGCAATTTAATGGGTAGATTCATTGAAATCTATTGTAATAGTTGCAACTGTAGATTGCAACTTATGCCATTAAGACAAAGATGCTGGATTTGACAAATATTAGCAATACCTTATTTTCTGCTTGTGGCCATGTTTTAAATAACTTTTAAAACGTTATTTTATGTACATGAGTGTTTTGCCTGCATGTATGTAACTGCACCATATTGGTGTAGTGCTAGAGGTCAGAAGAGGGTGTCAGATCCCCTGGAACTGGAGTTACAGGTGGTTGTGAGGTGCCATGTGGTGCTGGAAACCAAACCCTGGTGTCTTAACCCCCAAGCCATTTCTCAGCCCCTTACAGGTGAATTTTTATAGCAGTCTTAGACTTGAACATTAATACCAAAATTATAATAGCTCGTATAAAATGTAAACATCTTGGATTGTTGATAGCAAGACTGTACACAGTATGTTGTGTGGCTGAAGTTAAACCTTAAATGTTCAGTGGTGTCATTTTTGCTGAAACCTAACATTCCAGTTTAAGAAAAGGTTGCAAATAAAAACCAAATAATTTGTGTAAAAACAATTTTAATGCTTGATATCATTTTAGTTTCTGGTGTTTGGTGAGGGAAGAATGTGAGGGAAGAAAATGGGATGTCATTGACAGGATTTCAAAGAACAGGTTAGACAAGACTATGTAAGAAATAGTGTGGTTAGTCGTAAATTCAATGAATATAGGTGCTTTTGTGTTAAATATTTTAAAATTATTGTTTGTTAAATGACTTAAAATGTTGTTAAGCATGTGTGTATGATGTGTGTGAGACTGCGGGTACTTGTGTGGAGGTCAGCCTTGAGGAGCTGGTTCTCTCCATGTTGGGTCCAGGGATCAAACTCAAGTTCTCAGGTTTCAGTGGTCAGTGCCATCACTCTGAGCCATCAATCCCCAAATGACTTTTTTAAAATGATTCATTTTTGTATCATCCTAAATTTAAATTTGCTCTACATGTGTGAAATACCTAGTGCTGAAACTTGAAACACATTTTAAACTTCAGCAAAAAAAAAAAAAAATGCAGTAGTGAATAGAAGTTAAATTTTAAAGTGGAATTGAGTTGATCCATCTGCACTTTTATTTAGAAAAGAAATAGTTTTGAATGTATATGATCATACTTCTAATGAATCCTGTTTATTTTTCAAACATGTTGCTGTAGTGCACTGTGTCACTAAAATGTTGCTCAAACCTCCACTGGTGCAGCAGCTGTGGACTCAGTATACTAGGCTCAGCAACATCTGAGCCAACAGATCAGGAACTATATAATAAAAGGAATGTCACAAAGATAAAATGTGCTTTGTAGAAAAGGTTTTTTTCTATCTTAAATTTATTTTATTACATTAACTTTCAAGATTCAGTAATCTTTATATAATGTTCATATTTGTAATCTTAGAAGTTTTAATAGTACTGTAGAAGATGCAGTTTGAGTTAGAATATAGATAGAACAAATTCTTTTAGGCAAATAATTAATTTTCATGTATTTTTCAGAAGTTGTGCTTGTCGTTTTTTCATTAATAGAATTTATTTGAAAGAACAAATCTGAAATTTTATATTTTGTAGTTTGTTAACATGCCATAAGTTAAAGATACATTAGTAATTAATACTTAAAGATTTGTTCAAATTATTGCTTGATTATTTTCCCTCTGATTAGCTATGCTATCTTAGTCTTCTTGTAGCTTATTGAGTTTTGGAAATTTTGTTTTGAGAGGAATCTTTGTAATGTTCAAGATTTAGGAAAAAAGATTTTTATCTGTGAAAGCGGTGAAATGCAAACATGGTATACAAACAATATTTTTGCTTTGCTTTGCTTTTTTTCCCCCTTTTTACAGACCACATTTTTTTCTTACTCAGGAACCGGTCCTTCTTCTTTTGTTTCATTCTTGGGTTAGTGGGGTAAAGAAAAAGTCTGTGGAACACTGGAATTGGAGTGCATACCTGAAATTGCTGAAGACTGAGCCTTGAAGCTGAGGTGTGGGGAGGGTGGGGGGTCGGGGGTCAGGCAATGCCGTCTTCTTTGGAGGTTTGAGTAACTCAAGTGGGTTCTGGAATGTTTTATGGTGAATTTAAACATACTTTGTGCTTGTTTTACATTTGATTGTAGTTCTGTGGCTCAGATTCTTGAATTCTGGTTTTAGTTATGCATTAGTTAATAATATGGAAGTTGGGTCATTTTAAAAGTTTTTAGTTGTGCATTATATGTGTTTATGTGAATTTTCTTTTGAATAAGAACTCATTACTTTTTTATGAAAGAGACAGTCGGATTGCTGGTCCTTTGTGTTTTATACATGTGTGATTTCAAGTTTTCATATTTTGAGATTTAAGATGTTCAATGTCTTGAATATGTTTCTAGTCACCCTGTAGTAAAAGTAGTGCTTTAAAAGTGGACTGGCCTATTAATTTAGCATAATTAGTCTTTTTAGCAATACAGTTTAGGAACAAGATTAACCCAAAATATATGTCTGTAAAGTAACTGAAGGCATGAACTGGATAGTAGAATTTGGCTCTTTGGAATTAGTTGTGCTTACGGTAAAAACAAAAGTCATGGTTTTTAGATTGAGTTCTACATTTTGGGTAAAATGAGAACAGAAGCTAGCTATATTTATGTTGTTTTTATAGTCAGTAAGTTGCCTTTGTAAGGTAGCATATCAGATGTATGTATTTTTTATTTTATTTTTTTGAGAGAGGGTTTCATTTTGCAGTCCTGGTTGCCTTGGAGTGCACTATGTAGACCAGGCTGGCCTCGAACTCACAGAGATCTGCTTACCTTTGCCTCTCAAGTGCTGGGACTATCATACTTCGCCTTTTTTCCCCCCTCATAAAACAGTTTTCCTAGTCTCCATATTGTTTCAATATGATCTTTTGTGTTTGATGTTCAGGTCAGTATTCCTCTAGACTAAATTGTGGGCTTTGAACTTAGGAGTTCATATGAGACTGGAGTTTGAGCCCAAGGTCCTTTCAATTGCTAATTGGGTGATCTTAAGCAAACCCTTTAATTATAAACTTTGGGTTTTCTTAATTATATTGGAGGTGGTTTAAGGGCCACAGAGTTCTGGTATTTTCTTCCTGCAGAATCTTCAGTGATGATACAAAGGCAAGCCCTAGAGTAAAAAATACTCTTAAATGGATAAAGGTTGTTATAACTTTTAATATCCAATATACCTAACAGAATCTGAAATATTCCAAAATTGGAAACTTTGAGCACCATTGTGGAACTCCCAAGTATCAAAGTCATGTGATAGGTTGCAGTCAAAACACAGGTGCAGTAAAAGTTTATTTAAAATTGTCTTCAGGTTCTGTGTGTAACTTGTGTCCTTAGATCCAGCTCCTGTCTCCAAGATCTCATCATATCAGATTCCAGAACCTACAATTACTGGAAATCTGAAACACTTTGTAGTCCAAGCATATTGGATAAAGAGGTACTAAACCCTGTCAAAAGTATTTTAATTTTAAAGAAATGAAGAAGGTAAATATTGTATTGATAAAAGGCTTAAATGTTGGTCAGTTACTCTTCTCTCATTAATATTTTTATTAAGAATTAATAATTCATTTATCAGAATATACTAATATTTATCTTGTTTGATGCCACATAAAATTTATGCCTTAAGGGGCTAGAGAGATGGCTCAGCTGTTACAAAGCACCTGCAGCTCTGGCAGAGGACCTGGTTTTGATTCCTAGCACCCACATGGTGGCTAATAACTATAACTCCAGTTACAGGGGATCCAATGCTCTCTTCTGACTTTGTGTGCATTGCACGACACAGGTGCACTTACAGACATGCAGGCAATGCACTCATACATATAAAAATAATAAA